TATGTATGTCAACTGTTAATTTAAGGGACATTTTAACTCTAATTTTGTAAAATCTATGCATAAAAGACAAGAACAGTAAAAATATTTCTGTGTTTCCTTCCTGTAATAGATTTTTCAGAATTAAGATGTCATTTAAAATAGTTCATGTATGTATAGAATATTTTATTGTATATACATATATAATTTTTAATACTGAATATTTTACAGAACGAATCTGTATCGGCAGAGCTTTCATTTATTAAAAGGAAATACGAAGATCTTGAAATTGAACTTACTAAACTTAAAGAAAATTTAAAACTAGAAGTAAACAGTAAGAATGATATCGAACGAACATTGAATGATAGGGTGCAACAATTAGAAATGCAAATCAAAGAAGTAAGTGTTAAACACATACTTATATCAGTGCAGTATCATGTTTCATGTTTTCTACTGAAAAATTTTTATAGATTTCTACTGAAAAAGCAACCTTACAAAAAGCGTTGAAAGGTAAAGAAGTAGAAGTAAAAGACCTTGTAGATGTCATTAATCGATTGAATTCTAACAACTTGGATTTGGACAAGTTGTATGATGTATCTCATATTAAAGCTGAGGCAAAAGCATTGCTTGAAGAAAGAAACGAATTAAAAATACGATTGGCCGAAACTGAAGGAGCTCATAATTTATTAGAAGGTATATTTTGAAGTATTATTTAAAATTACTTGGTTAAATTATATTTAAACTTTTGAATTGTAGAACACGTAAAAGTTATTAAAGAGGAGATAACTACTTTAACTGAACAGTGTAAAATAGCAGAAAAAGAAAAAAAAGATGCAGAGACACGACTTGAAGTATTGACAAATTTTTTCGAGGAAAAAGAAGCACAACGCCAAAGGTATTACAAGTTTATTCAAATTAATATAAAATTTTTTTTTAAATACATGTACACAGATATATATATCAATTAATTCTATGTATTATTACAGAGAAGAAGCTATTTGGTTGCAACAGCAGGGTGAAGTTGTATCCACTGTAGAACGAATACAAACGATGCAAAATGAAATACAAAATTATAAGTGAGTGTTAATTCTTCAAAGTATGTTTGGAAATTCGTTCTATGATTAATGTAATAATCAAATTTTTTAAATTGTATTTAGACAACAAGTAGAAATGTTAAAACGGGAAATATTAGATCAAGAAAGAGAATACAAAAACCAAATTTCTCTTCTTGAAACAAAAGCACACGAGCAATGGGTATGGATCTTTTGATTATTTTTAAATATTATGTTACAAAATTTATTTTAATATTTCGATTAAATTTTACATTAAGGTAATAGCTCGTCAGGTTGAACGTCGTTTGGAGGAATCGAAGGTTGAAGCAGGTCAATTGCGTAATCGCCTTACTCTAATAGAAAAAAATATTAATGACGTAGATTCTGAGGCAAAATTACATCGTAAGTATAGTAAACAAAGTTTTTTTTTATTTTATAGCTACTAAATTTTATTTTAATGTTATAATTGTTTTAAGTAGTAAATATTATCTTACTGAATCTTATCTTGAGTTTAAAAAATGTATTTGATAGATTATTGTTGCTAATTTAATGTGATAAATTAATTTCCTATTTAGTATTGGTAGAAATTATAGACATAAATATTTGTTATTGAATGTACATAAATATCAAAATGAAGTTATGATAAAAGTTATTAAAGATATTTAGGTCACTTTATCGTTGGTGATACGGTACTGATACAGTATTACAGATAGAATTATTTTAATGTAGAAAATTGTATTTTCTTAACGTAATTTTCAAACAGGACTGGAAGCAAATGGTGAGACGACAACGTCGCCTCCATTATTCATAGGAGCAGAATCATCCAGTTCTCCTATAATATTTTCTGGTTCTTCAAGTGTTCCACCGCCACCACCACCTTCCTATTTACATTCACTATTTCCTCCGTATTTACCACCTCCGTTGCCAAATACGTCCGGAGTGCCACCATATGAAGTTGGTCAGCGGCCGCCACCACTTGGTGGTCGGTTATCCTCACCTCCACCTATGTCTTTGCATCCACCTGCTCCCAACAGGTATGATAATACAGGTTCCCCACCACCAATGTCTCCACACTTGCTTCCTCCTTTTAATCATAGATCACCTCCACCTCCGTTTGCTAACGATATTCATCCACCTCCTCCACCTCCTGGTTCGATATTACCACCACCTCTTGGAACGTCGCATGTATGGGGGGAAGAAACACTGCCGCCTCCACGCAATTCTGGTTTCCATCAGGCACAACGAGAACGAGTTAGAAATCACAAAGGTTTGTGTATAAGATGACAAGCAACTGCAAGAAACTGCCACACCCATTAATGGTCAATTTTACTTTCATTGAAATGAGTTTCTTCCTTTTTTTGTCATTATTATTTTCTTTTCTTCTTTTTTGTTGTGCATGCAAGGACGCAAGCGATTCTCTAAAGTGAGACAATTTTGGAGTACTATGGAGGGAAATAATTGCAAATAAATGCAGTATGTCAAGTTGAACGTTCCGGATTGATTTTGTTTTCCTGATATAGAATTTTTTGATTTTTATTCACCAGTACAAAATATGGCATATATAATAAAATTAAATCGAAGTTAAATCACAAGTTTTTAAAATTTCGTTATTTAATATATATTAAATGTATTCTTTTGTGAAAGTGCTGTTGGCTAATGACATTATATTATAATATTGTTAAAATATAATTTATATTATAGAACATGGGCTTGTGATTTGATTGTGATATTTTTATGATTACTTTATGATTAATTTATAATTTTATGATTACGTGTATCATATTTTTAATTTTTCAAGTAACTCTATCTTCCTTCTTATTTTTATTTTTTATATTGCATTTTTCATATTCTTTTTTTTTAAATTAAAACAAATTGCTAGTAGTAAAACATGTTATTTACAATTTACTATTGTTCTCAGGTTCCTTACATTCTTCAGGAGAATCACTGGACAAATCACACCATAACAGCAAAGTCTGAGTCTTTTGTTATGAAATATCTTCGTATATGCGTTAAACTTGTCATTGTAGCTATAAAATATATTTAGTTATTAAACAAAATTTCAATAAATAAATAACAATGATATGTTAAGGCTAATAGATCAACTAGCATTTACTACTTCATGAAATAAAAAATCATGCATTTTGATTTATCAAATGTGATAAACATGTATTGCTATCAGAAATACATCTGTTAGCCATCATTGTTATATAAATAAGGGAGAAAAAGCAAATTGTACATATATATTCTTTAGAAACGTACTGAAGTATAGGACAAATTGTAAAAATGTTTCTTTATACATGTAATTATGTAAATCTTCGTTTATCTTCGTAAATCATTCAGACAAGAAATAAATTGTAATATGAATTTAGATTAAATACAATTGTTATATAAGATTTTAAAGAAATTGAAATAAATTGTAATTTATTATTATGTTATGTTTCATAACTTTTATGACCTTCAGTTGCTACGCACGTACATACATATACCAAAAATTATCAAGCATTGAAAATTATACATTTATTACCCATAGCTTTCTTTTTACATTTTATAAACAACAATGTAGAATTTTGTCTACATTGATGAATCTTTTAATAATTAATACTTACAGTATTCACAATTCAACAAAGAGGAATGCAATAATTATATTATAATTCTATGACTAATGAGTCGTAATTTTATAAAAATTCGTCTTGTTCTTCGATCATCTTATATCACATGTAATGGATATGGATGGTCAACTACAAAGTTGCATAAAGAAATATACATACATAATAATAATGTAATAATTGTTTTATGCCAAAAATACTACAAAAAATATGAAGAAAAATATAAGAACCGCGAAAATTTTTATCATTAACCACCTGTTATTAGTTACAGATTGGAAATATTTTAAAATTTCTGCATGTGCCGCTTCCACATTCAATTCTGTATCTTCTATATTGCTATCTATCCTGAAAATTTATTTAAATTTATTATAATAAATCTCATAAATAATTGTAAATACCATATCATCCATTAATAAATATATTCCGCATAAAAATAATGTAATTGTTTCAACAAGATTAAAAATTTAAATATGTAGAAATTGTTAATCAAAGAGTCATCAAATGCTAAGAGTCACTAAATTCATTATTTCCTGGTATTTGATTATTTATTTTATAACTATTAATATATATATACTACTAATATATTAATATTTATAATACTACTAATATATTAATATATATAATATATACATAATATATTAATATATATACAGGTGGTTTTTTTAAGAGAGGCTACTTAAATATCTTTACTAGTCGTGATAATACAAAAAATATTTTTCGCTTAATATGAATAATGGTATCAAAAGATCAATAATTAGTAAGAATATTTTTTCCCAAAGTCATTTTTTTTCAGAGTTTTCATTAATGTTCTTTTTTTTCATACAATTATGTTTTTTTAATTGCATTGTAGTGTAGTTAATAAAAAGAATATGTTCAGATATGTAAAGAACATGATCTTAAAGTGACACTGATATCGAAAAATTAAATTTTACTTATAAATTTATCTCTATCAGATCATAAACATAGCTAATAAGATTGTACTAAAATATTCTAAAAGATTTAATCATAAAATGTTTAAGCCAGTACTTACTTTTTTATTATAGTCACAATAGATATTTAAAATGCCGTTCTACAATAATAAATTGTTTGAAACGAGTAATAAGTGATTGTAATGACTTTTCCATTGTTTCAGAATCAATAACAGTACTAGTTCTAACTATTCGA